TGTGTGTAGTTAATATTAATGGATTGACGTAGAATACTGACGATGATTTGGATTTAAATACATGCTTTTTCCTTAAGATCTATGTCGCCATAGATAATAATATACGTCAAATCATGTCAAACTGAAGTGAAATATTATCAATAATACCTGATCGTATAAGATTATAAAAACTAATGCATACTGTCAGTAATACTGTAACATATATTAGGAAAGCGACGGGATGGAATAACACAAAGGAAATCAGCTTAATAACACACGCCTTTAATATCGGATAATAATACAAAGAAAAGGGTAATGTCGTCGAGAGTCTAACGACAATAGTCATACAAAGAACTGAAAAGTATTGACGTGTAGCAGACTGATAATAACTGGTCGCCACAGATGGCGCTAACCTTCAAACTATAATTTACCATTTCTAATATTCCTCCCACTAAAAAACTGAAAAGAAAGGTATAAACTAATGTCTGTATCGCTCGGGCGTTCCGGTTTATTCTCTGGGTCCTGGCTTATTTCTTCCACACTTCGTTCCTTCGTCTCTTCTGTCATCTCTAGCGGGTATAAGCGCTGGATAGGTCGTACCAATTCCCCGGTAGTTGTCTTCACTTTTATTACTCTTATGATGTTGTCCTTGCCAGGATAAACCTCGGTTATACGAGCTAACGGCCAATCTAATCGTTTACGATTATTTGAACCTATCAGAACGATATCTCCAACTTTCAAAGGTACATTATGACCTCTAATCTTCCTTCCAGCTAATTGTCCTAAATATTCTGAACGAAAACGTCTGCGTAATTCATCACGTAAACTCTGACAATATCTCATACGTCTATTGAGGTTGACTTCTATCTTGTCCAAATCTGATACGTTGTTCTGAGCTATTTCCTGTAAAAACATTGCTGGCGTTAACGGTTTCAGCTGCGTTGTATCTTCTGCTAAGTACGTCAAGGGGCGTGAATTAATGACAGCTTCCACGTCGCATAATATAGTATTTAATTCCTCGTAATATAGACAGGCTTTCTTTAATGTTCGTTTCAGTAGGTCTTTTACTATTCGAACAAGACGTTCCCACCATCCTCCCCACCAAGCTGCTGTAGGAGGATTGAGACGCCAACTCATTTTTTGACAATTGCTAAATTGTTTGACTTTTTCCCAGTCTATCTTCTTTAGTAAATTACGGGTTCCTACAAAGTTGGTACCATTATCTGTATAGACGATAGAAGGCTTTCCTCTTCTTGCGATAAATCTTCTGAAAACTTGTAGAAAAGCTTCTGTTGAAAGTGATGTGGTGAGTTCTAAGTGAACCAAGATTTCTACAAAAAATTTTGATATTAAGGTTTGTTCGCGTTGCTTGCACTCAGCATATATCTTCGCTTTCTTTTTTTAGCTACACACACACACGCGCACGCACGCACACACACAAAGTATCTCACTTCACATTTAAAATTTTTGAGGAATTTCAGACAACGTCAATAGACCTATTAAAAGTATTTTTAATTAATATTGTGATAAAATCTCTTTAAATCGTATGAAATAATGGCTACAACCTTTGTTTTAGAAGATACGCCTAACACAAAAGTTGTTCTTTTTTGGTATTCAATGAATAACAAAAATGATAGTACAATATTTGAGACAATCGTATCGCCCAAAAGGAAAGCAACATATAACATATACTTATTACTTTTATATGGACATATTCCGTTAGATCTATAAAAATATCGACCAATTAGGTACATAAACTCATTGAACGATTCAGTAGACTTTGGCAGGTATTCATAATCAGTTCTTATATTCAAGACAGTCTTAAATTCAGTCTTCAGGAGTTACGAACCAATCAGAAGGCCGCTTTAGCATCTTAAGACGTTACTTAAGACAGTCTTGAAATAAGAATCGACTATGAATACCGGCCTTAATAGTTGAGTGAATGCTTGTTGCTATTAACGTATTCTTCTACATCTAAAATGCTGTATAATTAAATGATTTAAAAGAATACATCAATAACAGCAAGTGCTCACTCAACTGTGAGTCCGCTGAATGCGCCCAATGCATCTACAGGGCTGTCAGCAATGTTCAGAACAGAAAAAGGGGAAAAAATAACTCTTTTCATGAAGAAAGTGACTAAAAAGTGACAAAGTGACCATAATTAAAATACACGGTAATTACTGGAAACCCTAATTTCATTAGAAAATCGGACAAAAAAAATTCACTTTTTCTGACACGTACAGCTGTCACTTGAGGTTAACATTCACTTAATATAAAAGTTTTAGAGATCGCAGATTGCAAATAAGCGTCTTGCAGTATTGGGATGACTTGTACGAACAATCCTGAGTTTGCGGAACCAAGATTAAATGCGTAGAAAAAAATATTTCTTTTCAAATAGAAATCACGATCTATGCGAGGATCGGAACGTCAACAGAGCAGAAATTGCGTTTAGAAGTAGTTGCGCCGTCGGCCGCCGTCTTGAAATAGATGGCGTTGTAGAGCACCGGTAAAAACAGGTATGAACGTGATCCTACTTTGCCAGAAAAAGTGAATTTTTTAATTTTTTTTTCCGATTTTCTAGTGAAATTAAGGTTTCCAGTATAGTTTTTCGTACGTACTTTTATTCTGTAAAAGAATTTTGCAATCCGTAAAGCCAATTCGGATCATTCTCTTCAAATAAAATCATGATAAATCAGCTGTTTTAGCATCGCCTCAAATGCGGACAGAGAAGAAGAAGAAGAAGAAGAAGAAGAAGAAGAAAGAGACGTTTCTTATGGCCTCTGTACACGGTCAGTAATACCGTCAGTATCAACGAATATTGACAATATTATTGATTGTGTGTAGTTAATATTAATGGATTGACGTAGAATACTGACGATGATTTGGATTTAAATACATGCTTTTTCCTTAAGATCTATGTCGCCATAGATAATAATATACGTCAAATCATGTCAAACTGAAGTGAAATATTATCAATAATACCTGATCGTATAAGATTATAAAAACTAATGCATACTGTCAGTAATACTGTAACATATATTAGGAAAGCGACGGGATGGAATAACACAAAGGAAATCAGCTTAATAACACACGCCTTTAATATCGGATAATAATACAAAGAAAAGGGTAATGTCGTCGAGAGTCTAACGACAATAGTCATACAAAGAACTGAAAAGTATTGACGTGTAGCAGACTGATAATAACTGGTCGCCACAGATGGCGCTAACCTTCAAACTATAATTTACCATTTCTAATATTCCTCCCACTAAAAAACTGAAAAGAAAGGTATAAACTAATGTCTGTATCGCTCGGGCGTTCCGGTTTATTCTCTGGGTCCTGGCTTATTTCTTCCACACTTCGTTCCTTCGTCTCTTCTGTCATCTCTAGCGGGTATAAGCGCTGGATAGGTCGTACCAATTCCCCGGTAGTTGTCTTCACTTTTATTACTCTTATGATGTTGTCCTTGCCAGGATAAACCTCGGTTATACGAGCTAACGGCCAATCTAATCGTTTACGATTATTTGAACCTATCAGAACGATATCTCCAACTTTCAAAGGTACATTATGACCTCTAATCTTCCTTCCAGCTAATTGTCCTAAATATTCTGAACGAAAACGTCTGCGTAATTCATCACGTAAACTCTGACAATATCTCATACGTCTATTGAGGTTGACTTCTATCTTGTCCAAATCTGATACGTTGTTCTGAGCTATTTCCTGTAAAAACATTGCTGGCGTTAACGGTTTCAGCTGCGTTGTATCTTCTGCTAAGTACGTCAAGGGGCGTGAATTAATGACAGCTTCCACGTCGCATAATATAGTATTTAATTCCTCGTAATATAGACAGGCTTTCTTTAATGTTCGTTTCAGTAGGTCTTTTACTATTCGAACAAGACGTTCCCACCATCCTCCCCACCAAGCTGCTGTAGGAGGATTGAGACGCCAACTCATTTTTTGACAATTGCTAAATTGTTTGACTTTTTCCCAGTCTATCTTCTTTAGTAAATTACGGGTTCCTACAAAGTTGGTACCATTATCTGTATAGACGATAGAAGGCTTTCCTCTTCTTGCGATAAATCTTCTGAAAACTTGTAGAAAAGCTTCTGTTGAAAGTGATGTGGTGAGTTCTAAGTGAACCGCTCTATATACAGCACAAGTAAATAGGCAGATCCATGCCTTTTGATTCTTTCTTATAAATAAAGGTCCTATATAACCAATACCTGTAACTTCAAACACTTTAGCCTCTTTTATACGTTCTTGAGGTAGACACCCGGGTATGGCGTCTGCTTTTTTGGCTCTATGACGTTTACATGTCCAGCAACTATTTATAACTGATCGTACAGCCATTCTGCTAGTGCGTATCCAAAAAGTTTCTCTTAAATTACTCATTACGGTTTGGGTTCCAGCATGCTTAAGTTGGTGATGTTTATACTCAATTAGCTTCTTAACTAAAGCATGTTTAGGGTCCAATAGAATGGGATGTCGAAAGTCATACTCATCATTGCGATTTGTTATCGACGATCTTAGGCGTATCTAGTGCGCTGAGCTATTTCTCATTTTCTTTGTTGAAAGATTCCTCTTGGACTAATTTAAAAACTGTCAGTTCCGCCTTGGTAAATTCCTCTACTGATAATTCTCCTGTTAGTCTTGAAGTTTGCGGAGCTCGACAATTAACCAAAAACCGACGAATCCAAGCTATAGTTCTCACTATTTTAAGATATTTGGACTGATTTTTCATATACCACCCTGCTTCCTGTATAGTGGATATGCTTGCGTTAACTTCTATTCTTTTACTGCTGCTTGACTTCTTAGTCTCCATATTGATCTCTGCTTCGTTCTCACTGTAGTCTGATGAAGGCCATTGATCTTCAGGTAACTTAAGCCACGCCGGGCCTTCCCACCATCGCGATTCTATTAACTGCTTCGCCTTGCAACCTCTTGAAGGCAAGTCAGCGGGGTTCATAGATCCGGGTACGTGACGCCATTGTTGTGGATTAGATATTAAACGTATCTCCTTGACTCTATTTTCCACAAACGTGTTCCACTGTTTGTTCTTCTGTATCCATGCCAAAACAGTTGTGGAATCCGACCAAAAGAAAACTTCTGCGTCTCCGTAATCTTCTGTATCCTTTATCGAGTTCCAGAGACGGTGGTCCTATGGTAGCAGCAAGTAGTTCCAAACGTAGGATGGTTATCTTTACGGTAGGTGTCACTCGGGATTTTGCTTGTATGAGCTGCACATACACGTTGTCTAGTGTCTGCGTTCGTGCAAAGACAGCAGCTGCATAAGCTTCTTGACTAGCGTCTGTAAATATGTGGAAAGATATCTGGCCTCCCTCTGGACCAAATGCCCATCTTGGTATACAGAACTCTTTTAACCAATGGAGTTGTTGTAACCAATTATTGAAGTCAGTCTTCACCTCTTCTGGAACTTCGTCGTCCCAGCCGATTTTACATGACCAGAGTTTCTGCAACAAAAGTTTAGGTTCTAATGATATAGGGGCAGAAACGCCTATGGGATCGTAAACTCTTTGAGCCGCTGCTAAAATATGTCTCTTCGTGACTTGATGCGTTGTTTGCGACTCCAACGTTGTAGGTGTCAACTTCAGCGTATCTCGTTTTTTGTTCCACAGTAAGCCAAGCACTGAAGTCCACTCGGGGTTTTCCTCTTGTCCCGTATATTCCCATCCTCGTAAATCAAATTTGCCTTCTGCCATGATACGTCTTGCGGTGATCTCGAATTCTATAGCTTCATTTCTTGAATTAACACTGGTCACACAGTTGTCCACATAGAATGATCTCTTCAATTGACAAATGAAATTCTTTTCCTTTTTATCTTCCGTTTTCTGTAATATCTTTTCTAGATAATATTCGATGGTTCCTCCGAGAAGAAAAGGACTGCAAGAGGCTCCGAAAATTACTCGCCGATGTCTATATACCTCTATCTCTTGCGGAAGAATTTTACTCCACCATAAAAAGCGTAGTACATCTCTATCACTTGGCGTAATGCTTATCTGCAGGAAGACTCTTCGTATATCTGACGTTAGTCCCACTCCACGTCGTCTGAAGCGCAACAAAATTCTCGGAATTAATTCAATCAGATTGGGGCCTCTCTCTAAACAGTGATTAAGTGATAGTGTATTTTCTCCTATAGCTGATGCATCAAACACGGGTCTTAATTTTGTGGTGCTATTTTCTTTAGTGACGCCTCTATGAGGTAGGTAATAGGATTCTTTTTCTATTTCTTTATACGGTACCTTTTCTATAATGCCTTCCTCAAGCCAATCATCAAAAATTTTTTGATATGCGTCATACAAGCCTTGTGTTTTAAGTTTCTTGGTAATAGTTGCAAGTCGTCTCATTGTTGACTTCTTGTTATCCGTCAAGGGCAGATGATTTTCTTTCCAAGGAAGCAATACTTCATAACGGCCTTCTTCATTTACTTTGATGGTTTGCCAGAAGTTCTCTTTAACATCTCTTTGACGGGCGTCTTCCGATTTTTTCACAATTGGATCCGTAATACCCAGTGTATCCAATTTCCATAGATCAGCAACATTTTCCACCTCGGTGAACATAGATACAATTGTAAGTGTCGTGTCTTCCTTAAGATCCATTCCTGTATCTACTTTACCCATTAGCGTCCATCCGAGTAATGTTTCGAAAGCTATGACTCCACTCTTAAGCGCTTTTCTTTTTCCTGTTAAAAGTTCTCTGGCGATATCTGCGCCTATCAGTATGCCGATCGGCTCGTTTCTTGTATTAATATCGGTAATCTTGATTCTTTCTTGTTGTAGCTCTTGTAACCATGGTCCTTTACTAACTGAAGGTACTTTTTCACATATTGATTTCTGATGTAAGGCTATAAAGTTACAAGAGTATGATTCATCCAAGCTTTTAACATAAACGCGATATCCTTTGTGTGTCGCCGGACTTGATTTTGCACCTCCAAATAACATGTGTACAATAAGTTGCTCGCCCACGACTTCGAAATCCATCTTCTCGGCATGAGAGTCTGTAATATATGACCTGTGTGATCCGTTGTCAATAATAGCTCTAACTACCTGTTCTTTGCCTTGATATACTAGTTTGACTCGAAGCGTCTGCAGAAATACTTCACTTGTAAAAGAAATGTTAGCGAGCGTTGATTGTTCTTGTGTACTGGCAGATTCTTTTGTTTGCTTGTTTTCAATAGGAACATTCGGAGTTGTACTGCGACACATAATTAGAACATGATTTTTGCCGCACCATTCGCATTTTCCTTTATATCGGCAATATTTAAAACTGTGCCCTATTTTAATGCAATAAAAACAAGCGCCTTTCTCTTTAACGATCTTGGATCTATCTTCATATGCCATCTTCTTAGCCTTGTTACATGAAGTGCTATCGTGTTCCTGTTCACAGAATATGCAATGAAGTGTCTTGTTTTCTTTAGCTGCGATTAATCCTGCAGCCGTAGCGATCTCTTTTGGCTCCGTCTTTATCTTTTTCTTATGCTTGTCCTGATTTGATGCTTCTTTGCTTATACCAAAGCCACTCATTGCCATCGCAATCCTATCTTCGCTCATCATCTCTATATGTAGAAAGGACATCAATTCTTCCAAACGTTGTTTAGATGTAGTAGCGTTGAGTACTCTTGCATCACGTTGCCATACGCGTAAGAGATCCTCTGGCAGTGACGATTCTACTAGCGGATATAATATTGCAGCACACATGTCCGTAGTAACTCCTAGTGATTCTAAAGCTCTAAGTTGTGTTTCGAGTTTGTCATATATACTAGATAAAGAGGTAGAATCTGATTTAGCTGACTGATTCAATACTAACTTGAGCATCTCTCGTATATAGACTTCCACCAGTAAATCTTCTCTTCCGTAACGTGCTTTAAAACTCGAAATAACCTTGTCATAATTCGAAGCTGTTGGAGGGAAACTGTTTACTAATATACTTGCTCGAGAGTCCTTGACCATCGCTTGGATCAAATACTGGAATTTGTCCTCCTTGGTTATGTTTGTATCTTCATGAATGTGCTTGAAAAGGCTCCAGAACTGTAACCAATCTTTAAGCTCTCCGCCAAATTGCGGCAGTTGTATTTTGGGCAATTTATACGTGCGCGTATTATCTCTATAAACTTGTGTTACTTGCTCGCCATCCGATGCATGAACTGCCGGTTGTGTCGATTCCAATATATTATTGACTGCGAGCTTTGCCTGCTGGTATTTCATCCGATATTCATCCGCTACATCCGTTTCTTGTACTAACTCTTGTTCGTCCATCTCGCCGTCGACCATAACCTCGAAGAGTTTTTGGTTCATTTCTTCGAGTTGACTTGCCTTATCTCTTATAATCGCGAGACGTACTTGTAATTCTGCGTAATCTGGTCTCTCTTTTTCCAACTCCTTGTATAATGAACTCAGATTACGTGTAAACGCTGTGCGAATAGCAGCGCGTGCTTTTCTCATCTTCTCCATCTCGTCCTTCTTATTTTACGCAAAAATATGTCACACAATTAAAGCAGTCCTGTCACGCGGTCGCCACTAATGTAACATATATTAGGAAAGCGACGGGATGGAATAACACAAAGGAAATCAGCTTAATAACACACGCCTTTAATATCGGATAATAATACAAAGAAAAGGGTAATGTCGTCGAGAGTCTAACGACAATAGTCATACAAAGTACTAGACGTGTAGCAGACTGATAATAACTGGTCGCCACAGATGGCGCTAACCTTCAAACTATAATTTACCATTTCTAACAAATACTGATCAATAATACTGAATTACTGACTCAGTGTGGCGTTGAGTAGCTCACCGCTCGGTGCGATTGACTCGTGATCTGTAGACTCGAGTTCAATCCCACGTGCGCCCAAACGCGATTTTTCGCGTTTAATGAGCCAAAAAATGGCTCCACCTGGTGATCAAAAGATCTATGATCATCAGCGCCGTTCAGATTCGGCGTTAAATTGTAGGTCCTATACATCAGTATATATCAATAGATATATGTCTCTAATATCCGACTGAGGTAGGATTCTGTGGATCATCACCCACAAATTTGAAAACAATTTGATTCGAGAAACGAATATAGACCTCGGACAAAAGTGGAAGAGGCCTAGCTGTGTAGACGTCCTATGCTCCACATGAGGAGATAAAAGGAGTCATCATTATCAATACTGACTCAGTATAGAGTCCCTATACTAAGAATCTGGCCAAGGTCTAGTTCTTTGGTCTAGTTCGACAAAACATGGCGTCGTCGTACATAACCAAAAACGTGATGTGATCATATATGTAATACTACTATATGGCTAGATGAGAGAGAAGTCCATGTCCCAGAACCACGGTGCGGGAATATACTTCTCTCTCTTTCTCAGCGTACTTTGAACGTTGTGCGCATGCGTCGGATCATCCCCTCCATCAATAATAAATAGAAGGATAAATATACATATATGTGTAAGGAAGAAGGAAAAAGTGATTGATTCCGCTTCAGGGTATAACCTTGTTACAGTTAACAGAGTCAGTTTAGTCGGAATAAATAAATTAATCCTAATTTTATGAAATAAACTTTTTCAAAATTGCCGTTATGTATATAAGAATACAGTGCAATCCCTTACAGAAATTTCATGATAATCAGTGCAAACTAATACCTATTTCATACCTATGCAAACTAATGTTTT